ATAATAGTGTGATATCTCCATCTCCACAACTGGGCTAGACCTCCAGAATAGTGCTGCAGATGTTAGCTTCCTCACTAGTCTTTCTGCCTCCTGTCTTGTCTTCATACAATCCAGATGATCTATTTGAGCCTAGGTATCATAATAATCATTTATTTGTTCCACTGACTTCAATATAAATTCACAGTTTAAAACATCATTACAAAATGCTTAAAACATAGAGACAAGGGGCACCTGGGTGGTTCAGCTGGTTGAGTGTCCAGCTCTTGACTTTGGCTCAGGTCATGGTTCCAGGGTCCTGAGGTCAAGCCCTGTGTCGGGCTCCACGCTGAGCATGGAGCCTGCTTAAGATTCTTCTCTCTCTCTCTCTCTCTCTCTCTCTCTCTCTGGCGTCTGGGTGGCTCGGTTGGTTAAGCATCCAACTTCAGCTCAGGTTATGATCTCCCAGTTCGTGGGTTTGAGCCCCGCATCAGGCTCTCTGCTATCAGCACAGAGCTTGCTTTGGATGCTCTGTCTCCCTCTCTCTCTGCCTCTTCTCTGCTGATGCTTGCAACCTCTCTCTCAAAAATAAATAAACATTAAAAAAAAAAGATTCTAGCTCTCTCCCTCTGCCCCTCTCAACCACTCATGCATGCTGTCTCTAAAAACAAAAAAATTAAAAATTAAAAAATAGAGAGAAGTTGAAAAAAATAGTACAGTGAGTACCTATAGACCCACCATCTAGACTCAACAATTGCTATCATTTTGCCATATTTACTTTATGTGTGTGTGTGCCTGTATGCACATATGTGTTGAATCCATACTCTTTAACACAATTTTCTAAACTCTTCATATTCTGGCACAGCCTACTTGTCCAGCTTCACTTTCCCTGGCTCTCCCTTTGCAACTTGCATCCCAGCCATACTTAACTATTTAATGTTAGTTCCCTGAATGCTCCTGGTGTTTTCATGTAATATATTATTGCCTATTCCTGAATATACTTACTCCCTTTTGCTTGATTAACTCTATTTGTTCTTAAAGACTCAGCCACACCCATGTTGCCATAGCACCCTACGTTTTTCTCAGTCATAACAGTTATTAAACTGTACTGTTATCGTCTACCTCTCTGACTTTCCTACTAAACTGTGAACTCATTGAGGGTAGGGACTTTTTTTTTTGGTCTCTGTATACCTACGCCTCTCCAGTGGCTTGCACTTGGTAGGTGTTCAATAATCAGAAAATCCAACTGCCCACCGGAGGGTTCTACCTAGTTACATCATAGGCAACTCAAAATCAACGTATCTATACTGAGCTCATCTCTCTTCCACCCGCTTCTGCCCATTTACACCCCTCCTCTGGGGTGCCTGGGTGGCTCAGTCTGTTTAAGCTTCCGACTTTGGCTCAGGCCATGATCTCAATGGTTCGTGAGTTCAAGCCCCACTTTGGGCTCTGCACTGACCCTGTGGAGCCTGCTTGGGATTCTCTCTCTCTCTCTCTCTCTCCACCCCTCCCCCATTCGTGCTCTCTTTTTTTCTCTCTCAAAATAAATAAACTTTAAAAAAATAAATAAAGCCATCCTCCTGACTGAATGTCATCCAGTCTTCCAAGCCAAAAACCTCAGAGCAAACCCTAACTCTTCCCTCTCTTTTATCCTCCAACATAAATTTCCAATCTGTCCACCTCTCTTTATCTCTGCTACCTGTCTAGGCTGGGCCAGCTTCTTCTCTCACCTGGAGCACTCCTGAAAATCTTCTATCTTGGCCCACTCCTTCTCATCTTGTCCCCTCCAGTCTATTATCCACAGAGGAGCCATAATGATCTCTAAAATTCAGAGCTGATTATATTACTCCATGTGTAAACCCTGATTGTATTACTCCCTGCTTTTGGATAAAGTCCAAACTCCTCAGCTTTGATTAAAGGACTCTCGAGAACTGACCTCTGTGCACCCATAGAACTTTGTGTCTTGTACTCTTGGGTTCCAACCATTTTGTGTTTATAGAGCCTGTAGTACATTTTGTCTCCCAACATTTTCAGTTTCATGCCTCAGCGCATTCCCTTGTATTGTTTTCTGCCTAGGAAGGCTAACCCTCTCAAACTCAGCATGGACAGGTGTCACCTCCTGTGGGCAGCTTTTCCTTACTTCCCAGCCTGGGTTAGGTTCCTCTTCTCTATTACCCGTTACTGCCCTGTGCACACCTCTGTCACAGCACTCACACTATACACATATAGCTCTCTATACTGCAATAATAAGTTTGCTTGTTTGTCCCATTGAAACTAATTTATGAATTTTTTGAGAGCAGAGTTAATGTCTTATTTGCTTTTTTTCCTTTTTACCCCAGTGCTTAGTTGAGGGCTGGCATATAGTAGATGTGCAAGAAATACTTGTTTAAGAATGAATATTGGGGCGCCTGGGTGGCGCAGTCGGTTAAGCGTCTGACTTCAGCCAGGTCACGATCTCGCGGTCCCTGAGTTCGAGCCCTGCGTCAGGCTCTGGGCTGATGGCTCAGAGCCTGGAGCCTGTTTCCGATTCTGTGTCTCCCTCTCTCTCTGACCCTCCCCTGTTCATGCTCTGTCTCTCTCTGTCCCAAAAATAAATAAACATTGGAAAAAAATTTTAAAAAAAAGAATGAATATTAACAAATGTCTCTCCAAACTTCATTTTTGTAGATGCCTTATAAAAGATCTCTTTATTTTTTTTAATCTTTATTTATTTTTGAGAGAGAGAGAGAGAGACAGAGTGCTAGCGTGGGAGAAACAGAAAGAGAGGGAGACACAGAATCCGAAGCTGCACCAATCATGGCTCGAACTCACCAATCATGAGATCATGACCTGAGCCGAAGTCCGATGCTTAACCCACTGAGCCACCCAGGTGCCCCAAAGATCTCTTTAATTTTAAACACATTGTTTCTTTAAAGTACAACATAGTCGATTGCCACACAGGTAATCGTTATTGAATTTTGTGTGTTCTTCAACAAATTCAGACAATTTCTAGAATTGTACTATTTCTTAGAGATGGTCGATTCTACCCTTTCCTTTTTCTGTAGGTAATTTTTATCTCAGAGATAAACATCATCCGTAGTTGGGGGTGTCATGCTGTTGGCCTCACATACCCACTTTGATCTCTTATGTTCCTTTTAGTATAATAGGGTTCATGTTTCACAGATTTGCCCATTTAATTTGGATTCTAGTGCTGTTTAGTTATGGTGTGAATTTTCCCTTAGGTTTGTCTCAAGCCATGAGAGTATCAAGTGAAAAATTGTCCCATTGCTTAATCTTTGGGAATAATATTGATTAAGTAAATGTTGGGCCAGGGACGGAGGGGAGTGTGACTGGGAATTTAACAAATGCTGGGCTGGATAAAGTGAATTGTCTCTTTGAACTGAAAATGTAGCTAAAACTGAAAATCCTGAACATCACTGTCTCTGATTATTATCTCAAAGTGACAACTTTAAGATTATTTACAAGGTATGGGGTCCCTGACCCTGTTTACTAATAATAGTATTTAACAGATATATTTTTTACACTGTGCTAAGCACTGTTCTAAGTGCTTTACATGTATGAACTCATTTAATCGTCTGAACAACTTTATGAGGTAGGTGATATTACTATCCCCATTTTACAGATGATAAGGAAACTGAGTCACAGAGAAGTAACTTCCCCAAGGTAAAAAGTTATCCATAACTGTTATACAACAGGTGTATTAATTCACTTTTGTCCAATGCATATTTCTTAAGCACCTCTTAAATGCAGTAATTGACAGGGCAGATAAAAATTGTACACTTAAAGTAAGGAGGAATCATAATGCAATAGTGCCATGCATGAATCACCAAGGTGAGTCAGGCTCCCTTCAGTTGGTGGGAAACGGGCAAAGATTATATAGCTAAGGTCAGGAATGGCGCAGATGTATAGATTCGAGTAAACCTGTTTGTGGAAGACGAGAGAAGAGACTTAGTTTTGATGTGTGTGAAAACGGTAAATCTTTTCTGAGGACTAAGATTACTTTCAGAAGGGGCTTCTGATGCAGTCTATTTAGCACGAGGTAAGCGTCAGAAGGAAATACCCAGTATGACGCTTGTCTGGAGCACGAAAGGAGAAAGCTTTAAAAAAAAAAAAAAAAAAAGTAACAATGCGCTTTTCCTGCCCCT